AGATGCAGCTTCGAGGCTGGATCCGTGTACTGGTATGGAATTGGTTGAGAAAGTGGACACTGCTACCTGGTTAACATGTGGCACGGTTGAAAGGTGAACACTGTTTCTTTTTTAGCATGTGCCACACGAAAAATGATGGATCCGATTTGTAGAGATGAAATAATCGACCGAAAACTTTAAGTTTGTTTGACAAGCGTAGTGTCGGTTTTCACCTGAACGTTTGCGTTCCATTGATCAATTTTTGGAGCTCGACCAGTGTGCAGCACGATCGACGGCTTGATTTGCTAGTGTCTCGCCCGCCTCAATTTTTGTACCAGAGAATCAGGTCCTGATAAACTAGTTTAGGTTTATCACAGAACGTTGCCAACATCCTCACCTCGTGGTAGGTGAATTCAGTTGCCCAGGCATCGACTGGCGAAAGACGTTCTCGACAGACCTCTCCTGCGGTCACCTTTTTAATGACCTTCTAGTCGAGAAATCCTGGACGCAGCACTTGTCTTTTCCAACCAGGTTCCGACAAGGACATACTCCATCTTTACTAGACCTAATCATCACCAGTGAAAGACACCAGGTTGAAGTCATCAATCAGCTTTCCGGTCTCGTAAAAGTGATTATGTTTCGCTAAATTTTGACTACATAATAACTTGGAATCTGTTTAGCGCTAACACTCGATACGTTTGTTCCTGCAAAAGAACAAACTTCGAACCTGTAAACAGGTTTCTGCAACTACAGATCTGCCCTTCTTCTGGAATTTCTGTTGACAACCTCGCCAATCACATAGAGCTCATCATCTCAGTTCGCTTCATTTCAGTTCAGTTCAGTTTGCACAGGACGGAAGTAGTCGAGGCCAATCGGGCATCCAGATTTTTGTGTTGTCAGCTAGTTTCCTTGGCTACCAACACTACTCGTCAAACGTTTGTTCTGCTTTCTTCTGAAAGGCACAAGTTTTTGTTGCAGTATCACATCCATCAGATATGTAAAAATGAAATAAACAAATATAGGAACTGACTCATCTTATTCCTTTATCGCCTCTCAAGTGGCCAGTTCCGGGAGTAACACATCCCGGCACAGAAACAGGGCACAACTGTTGAGCAGCTTATGACATTCTCCGGAGATCTATTCCACAAAGGCACAACCCGTTTTGTGAAGAACCTGGCCCTCAACTCCAACCTGGGGTGCTCTCTTTGCAGTTTAAGGCTATGACCTCTAGTGCCGCACTCTGGAGACGGAACGAAGAAGCTGCTTAGTTCTATGCAGACAACTCCTTAACTATCTTTAAGGCTTCTATTAAGTCACCCCTGGTTCTTCGGCGTGACAGCAAGAAAAGATTCAGGTCCTGCAGACGCTGTGAGTAGCTTTTTCTTATCTGTCCAGTGACCATTTTGGTTGCCAGTCGTTGTACCCTCTCTAAACACTATATCTTTGCGATAGTATGGGTCCATGCTTGCACGCAGAATTCCAGTAGTGGACGCACCATTGCCTTGTACAGCGGAATGAATACTTCTGGCTTCCTGGGGTAAATCCCATCGAGGCGAGCAGCTGGGAAGTTGATCCATGTTCTGGGTTAGGTTTTCAACCCCGCTATCTTCACATCGTTCGCAAAGATGAAGAAGGGGTTGTGCAATTCTAGCGTGAGATATTTGATGAAAGGAAGGAAAAGAAGGGGCCTAAGAACCGAGCCATGAGGCACCCCACTTGTAACCCTCTCTGATCGCAATGTGTAACTGCTAACCCGTACAGCGAAACTACGGTTGTTGAGAAATTTCTTCAACCACTGACGCGCTGACCCGACTATTCCAAAAGTTGGTAGTTTCCTGTCCAGAAACGTAAAACTCACAGAGTCAAAAGCCTTGCTGAAGTTTAAGTAACACCTCTACTGCCCTATCATGGTCTAATTGACGTGTAGCCTCGTCCCGAAATATAAGTAGATTAGTTAAGCACGACGTATTTCTAGTAAACCCGTGCTTCGCAGGAGATAGAATTCCATGAGTCACCAGGTGTGCATATCATTGTTTTCTGTCTGTTCGTTCAAGGCACTTGTACAGTACTGCTGTTAAACTGACCGGCCTGTAGTTTTCCGCCTTCTGTCAAGACCCCGTCTTGTACATTGTTACCACGGTTGCCTTACGCCGGTCCTCTGGCACTACCCCGGAGTTCAGTGATGCCTTAAACAATGCAGTGATAGGTACCAGTATAACCTCAGCTAGTGGTTGGACAATAGCTGGGTGGATCTCATCAGGACCCGCCATCTTATGATTGCACAGGCTTATGAGCTCGGTTCGTAACTCGTCCTCACTCACTATTATCATCTGCAGTTCGTTTCCAATGGTCTCCACCAGAGGGACGAACGATAAACACTTTTGAAGTAGTCCTTCGGCGTCTCAGCCCGGTCCTTATCTGTATTAGCTATGTTACCGTTAGATGTTACCGTTTGGCATCTCCAAGGTTCCAACACTTTCACGTGTGGTTCTCTTGGACTTTAATAATAATAATATAAATAATAATAACGGTATATTTCACGAAGCCCGTGAAGCATGCTAGTGTGAATGATCAAATATAGAACAATGTAAAAAAATGACGGTCCCAACAAAGATTAATTGTACAGTGAGGGTAAGAACGTAATTTTCAAACGGGTAAAAAAGACATCGTAACCATGCATTGCGGTGAAATAGAAACACAAAGCTGACAAGGTCATATAATGCATTACTGATGGTGGTCTGTTATGGAGATCACATTAATGTAAACGATTGTATTATGAAAAACATTGAGGAAAACAGAACTGGAGTTGAAAATATCCGCTCGGGATATGATGCGCAGAAATGAGTTCAGAGAATAGGAGGGTAGTGAACGTAAAAGCTTTAGAATTTCAGAGGAAGAGCTACAGTAGAACCAAGAAAGTGTAACGGAATACGGTAGAACGAAAAATGGATTGTTAATAAACTGTTTCGAGGACCGATACAGATGGACTGATTGCTTGAACAAGGAGTAAAGGGCTTCGGAGGTTCACCGTTAACGGATTGACTGGTTTATATTATTTGTTATTCAAGCGTTGGTCGCTTTGATGTGGAACTGACTACACGCTAGACACTCAACCTTAAAACACCTTGTACGTAAGGCACGCGGTGTAATCCTCAACCTGGTCCGGGATGCGGATCCATGTAGTCTAAACGATGGATACAACCGCGCACAACAACCATTGCCGGAGCCAGATTGTCCATTGTGTGTGTAGACCCCAAGCCTCCGACAGGCCCAAGCCAACCGAATCTGAAACAAAAAGGGGAACATCGGCAGTCTGGGGTAATAAGGGGAGAGGGGGAAAACTGCATATTGCGAACGAATATGCAGAGAGGTTTAATGCCCGAAGGTGTATAAATATATCTCATCTTTACCGGCAGAAGGTTTTGCCTTCGGTGTAGATCTACTGAGGGTCCCGTTATCTCGTTCGGTAAGTCGTATAACCGGTTCCTTCAGTTTTTGCTCGGCTGCTCTATAAGCCTCTTTGTATTGAGTAGTACTGACACTAAAGGGAGAATCTGGTGTGATTCTCAAGTGCCCCTTAGGGCTCAGTTCCAGTCTAGCAGCCCTTCCCAGAAGCAGGTCTCTGCTATGAGTTCCATGGAACACTGTCAACAGCGGGTGTGGATGGTGTGACTTCGTACCCTTCCACAGTCCAATCCGATGACATTTGCTGTATTTTGTATCCGCTGGCAACCCTGCCAGTCTAAAGGCATTCATTATATGCCTGCGGTTTATTTCCCGTCTAACCTTCGCCTCGTTCAATACCGGTTCTGAGCAATTGTGCAACAGCAGTCTTCTGCTCTATGCAAAGATCCCTTCTGTGATAGCCCTGATCTTCACCATTTCTGCCTTCAGATCATTTATGTCCTTCCTTAGCGCCTTCCAGCTCGCCTCAGACGGCTTTCTCCTCGGCTTCGTTTTTTTCTCCTGGGGTACTTACTTTGGGCTTCTCGTAGCCGCTGTCCGCTCACACTTGGTGTTTCCTTGCGCCGCATTTTGGGAGATCTGCTCTTGCCGATCATTTGCTTCTTGTTTCCTTGGCCAAAAAGAGCTTAGCAGTAAGCGAGCGCACTCTTCAGTAAACATTACACAGCGTGTGCACATCAATCTCGGGGTTTTCGTGCTACGAGTGTATTTGGTATTCCTGTTTTATTAACGTCGAACACTGCTGATGGTACCAATCCTGACACCCATCACGCTGGATACCAGAAATCACTGCTTTCTCACAGGCCTTATTACCGCATGCGTTACGGTTGTACCGGCAAGCCATTATACAAGTGACTCCTTCACGAATGGGAATGAGTATGCACAATAAAATCGCCCAACCTATCCTAACCAATGCCCGAAACAATAAGCCTTTCTTCTCTAAATACATTTGTAGATTGCGTAAGCCCCCTCTCTGTCCCAGACGGATCAATTGCTTCATCCCCAACAGAGATGGCGGATAATTTCCGATCACACCTCCAGAAAACATTCAACTCCTCTCTGGTGTTAAATTACCCCATTCTGCAGCCGCTAGCTACAAATTCATCTCCATGATCCATCCTTTTCTCACAAGATAAAGTTTAGAGGAGACTCTGAAGCGTTAATCTATACTGCTTCATGGGACCTGATAATATAGACCCAAGGTTACTGGTGGAGTCAGCTGGTGTACTCGCTGCCCCGTACACTCTTCTCTTCCAACGCAGTATGAACGAGGGAACATTTCCCACAAGCTGGAAAGAAGCCGTTATTTGCCCCATATACAAAAAAGGCGGTAGACACTTCCCTGTTAGCTACCATCCCATTTCCCTAACCAGCATCCTCAGCAAAATTTTCAAGTGTCTTATAAAAGACGAAATCCTTAAACATCTTAGGGTCAGTAAGCTTCTTCCTCGTTTCCAGTAAGGATTTCTACCTTGTAGGTCTTACATCACCAATATGCTGACTGTCATGGATAGCCGGACCAAAGCCTACGATTCAGGCAAGATTTCTCATTCCGTATTCATTGACTTTGCGAAGGCTTTTGACTAGGTTCCCCACATCCTTCTTTTCCACAAACTCACGGCACTCGGGATTGTGGACCCCCTGCTAGCACTTATTCGTAGCTTCCTCTCGAATCGCTGGTTTGCTGTTGTGGTTGGCAAATCTTCATCGCAGCCCAGCCAAATTATGACCGGTGTTCCCCAAGGATCCGTTCTAGGCCCCATTCTTTTCCTTATTTTTGTAAATGATCTACCCCATGTTGTATCATCAAGAACTGCGTTGTAAGCCGATGATGTCACCATCTGGGATACAGACGCTTCTCTTTTACGGGCCTCAATTAATGCTACCAAACGCTGGTCACTTGACTGAAATCATCCAATCAACAATGACAAGTGTGTTGGGATATCATTCAATGATCACCCATCTCACCCTTTTACAATAGACAGTTCCCACCTAGTACCCCAAGTGGACCAATGCAAAGTTCCTGGCTTCTGGCTAAACAACAAACTGTCTTTCTTTAATCATACCCATCTAGCCAGTAAGGCCACTTTTCGTGTCCTGAACCTCACTAAAAGATGTTTACCCCGTATTCTAAAGGATGACTTTCCTCTTATTTACAAAACTTACATCCGCCCTCTCTTAGAATACGGAATCCAAGTTGTGCACTTCGGTCTTATCCAAGGGCGTGACTGCGCGTCCAGAGAGCCGCCACAAAGTCCGTCCTTGGATTCAGGGCCCGCCCCCACCGAACGCGACTTCAACAACTGGGCCTTTATCCGTCAGAAGTCAGATGCATTCGGGGAGATCTATTTCTCCTCTAAAATCTCTTTGAAACGAGTACTAACGAAACCTTTTTCGTCATTGCTAACTCAGCCTACCAGAGGTTATAGCAAAGCAATTTTTCAAGCCCCATCCGAGAACCACTTTACGTGGGTAATTTTTATCTTCAGGGTGATATCCTTATGGACAACCCTACCAAGAGAGATAATCAAAGCCCCCATTAAGAAGGTCATCAAGCTTCGTCACTTAGGTTTATCTACTTACCTCCAATAAAAGAAAACCCTTGAAAAAAGTTTTATTGATGTTATACGAGAGTTATGAAAAATTCCAATCTCGGCATGGATAGAAAACGCGATGTTTTTAGCGAACAAGCTCGTATTTGACAACTTCTTCCTCGGACAAATACAGTTATATAGTCAAATTAAAACTAATGTTCGTCTATGGCTATGTGTGATTTGTGGTTTGTGATTGTTTTTTGTGTTTTAGGGAAATGGGTTGGATAGGAGGATGTGATCGTAACACGGTTAGGGAAAAAATTGGGATGTGGACGTGTCATCACGGAGCCTTTGATTCTTCAGTTTTGCGACGAAAACATCTGCCGACAAGGGTATAAGTGGAGAATCCATAGTAACTCCATCAGTTTTTATGTATAAAACTCCGTCGAATAAAAATTTTGCATTAAATGTGCATCTTAATAATGTCTCTTTCAGGTTGATTACGGGGATGCCAATGTTTAGATCATTTGTTGTGATGCACAAATTTTCAACAGAGCTCACAATGCTATCAATTTTATGTCAGAACTAGAAACGGAAGGTGCATTTCATTTCCTCGATTTAAACCTAACAAGACTTTACGACAGCAGTTTGAGACGATCAGTTTATCGAAAACCAACATGGACCGGTTAATATATTAACTTTTCAAGTTTAGTGCCAAATGAGCGTAAACGAAACTTAGTTCAGTGCCTCGCAGAACGCCCAAGAAGAATTTCCTCGCACGACGGTACTGATGAAGAATAAGAAAATTTCAAGAAAATCTTACTGAGTAATGGCTATCCGAGCGTTACATTGCAAAGAACTTATTGGAGAGACCTCGAAGAGAGCAAATAATGACGGTAGGAAGAAAAGAACTATATATAAGACTCCCATTTAAGGGAGATTATATTAGTGAATTAGTGACACGTAGGTTAGAAAGAGCAATCTCCCGAACTTTTCCTGCTGCCACACTACGCACCCTTTTCGTGAGCCGACCGGTGATGTCCGTGAACCTTAAAGATAAATTGCCCGTCCATGCCTCATCCATGATCACCTATTCTTTTCTTTGCTCATGTTTGGCAAGATATGTAGGCAGAACGACCGAGCAATTGTCCCAAAGAATCAACGAACACAAACCGATTTGGTTGCGTTCAAACACAAGAAAAACGATTACAAGTGCAATCCTAGCCCGTTTTGCCGATACCGGGCATCAGGTTGATAATGACGCATTTCGAATCATCTACAGGGTACCACGAAACCCTTCGAAAGCCGCCCGTCAACGTCATCTCGCAACAGCAGAAGCCGTGGCCATTTTATTATTAAACCCATCGCTTTGTTCTCAAAAACGATTCGTACAATCACTCAGACTGCCTTGGCCACAACGTGACACGCCCCCCCAGATAGACGTGACCTTTCTCATGACACCGCGACCCTAACCCGTGATGACACGTCCACATCCCAATTTTTTCCCTAACCGTGTTACGATCACATCCTCCTATCCAACCCATTTCCCTAAAACACAAAAAACAATCACAAACCACAAATCACACATAGCCATAGACGAACATTAGTTTTAATTTGACTATATAACTGTATTTGTCCGAGGAAGAAGTTGTCAAATACGAGCTTGTTCGCTAAAACCATCGTGCTGTCTCTCTTTACGAGAGTTCGCAATTTTTATTTTACTTCTCACCTCGAGCGGGGAACCATACTTATGCATTTTCAGTACTCTCTGTTCTAGAATAAGTTCGAAAGAAATGAAAACACAGATACCTTTCAAGAACCCGGGACACTTAGGCAAAGGCCTCGAACCTGTGAATCACTTCAAGACTTTAAGATCTGACCTGACTTTACCTGACCTTGACCCCGTGGTTCGAACTTTTGTCGTGGTAGATAAGTCTTGCTTTTTCTCAATATTTAGTTAGCCTATATTAGTACAGTAGCACAATTAGGGATTTTACTTTAGCTTTGCTATATTGTACTGGTAGTAGGCTAAACGTTTTTGTCATTCTTGAGCGTCGTGTTTCGTAGACCTTATACATTGCGTAACTTCTTTGAAGCTAGCGGTAACGTATTTAATTGTTTTCCGATTATTGTAGCATTTTAAACATGCCACGTGTGTGTTGTCCATGACTGAATGTATTGTGTGGTAGACGAATAGTTACAGGTATAGAATGCAGCATATTCGAACATCGGGCACATAAAACTTGCTCTAAGCTCTAAAGTGAGCTACACAAACTATACAGCACTTACGTAGATCTTCTGTGGATCTGCCAAGGATGCCGAGAGATTGCAAAATCTGCATCAAAAGGCAGCCAGACTTCCTCGGATAATGGTGGTGATATGCAAGGGCAAACGCTACGCGTAAGCGAGTCGTCACTCAAATCATCACCGTGTTAATCAACCAACGCTACTTTGAAAACCACCCAACCATAAAGGTAAATCGTCGCTTCTAAGGAGCCCTTTGAATCACCCGACACGCAACACCCACACCGCGAGTCCGAAAAAGACTCGCAACAGCAATCAGCCTGAACTAACCATACCCAGAACCGAGCAAAGTATACAAGAAACTACACAGGGTCAATCAACAGTTGTCCCTTAGAACCAAACCGCTGTGGAACAACAAAACAACAGTTCCACAAAACTAACAGCNGTTGTTCGGATTACCATTACAGTTTGAAACCTTGGTCAACTTACGTTCGGTGAGTTTTTCTACATTCTTCTCCCTTGTCCTCGATATTTTGTTCCTAAATTGAATTTAATGTCGTGCAAACCTAGTCAATCAACCTCAGTCAGACTGACCTCCTCAGGAGAGAAAGAAGGTGAAGAAACCACCATCATTAAGAGCTCGACTGCTGCGCCATTTTAAGGGGGATCACACCGCAGCACGAGGTCTGCAATGAATAAGGCAGACGTAGAACTACGGTTATTGAGGGATGGACAGATTAGAATATGAGGTAAAGGAAGTCGTCTTCCAACAACGAATATGCGAGGCCGAGGCTAAGCTGGCTCTTGCAGAGATCGAG